ATTAATTTAACACTTTCCGGAAGAGTATTAAATAATTTGATCCCTGAATAGTAAGTACCTTTCTGATAATTAGAGTGAGTAGCACTCAGCTGATGGAGGCCTTGTACTTACTATATATTAGTTTGTATTGAACTTCTAGATGTTGTTCATAATGAAAGATAGTAACAAGCAAAGGGAATTATATTAAATTTCATAAATAGTGTTCTGTAAGATACCCTTTCTTCCTTTAACACCCAACATTTTTCTAATAATTTCCCATTGGATAATAAATACTATTTTGCTGCATTTTTATACCATGTTACCAGCAGGGACAATGCGATTTTTAAGATAAAACTTATGCTGACTCAAAGCTTAGGTTCAAATTAGAACATCATGTCAGAAAAAACATATGTATTAAAAGATATTCTTAAATTTCTTAAAAACAACACAGAACTACAATCCAATATACTGAAAAACTAATTTGAATTATAACAAAGACAGTATGATGGCTGTAGCGCTATGTAAACTGGTGAAAAATAACTGCCTCCATCAACAGGACAATAAGTCCTCAAACATCACTCTGATCATGGTGGCAGCAAAGACTGCTGAAACAATTATAAACTACCAGACTACATGGCACTGCACCCAGTAGACAGCCATCGTCATACTCACTACCGTGAAAACCTTAAATCGTATTTAATCTGAATTATGCTAAGAAACAGACATACACAATTACAATCAAATAAGCCCTTGGCTTTTGTAGACAGGCCTAATATATTTTGTAGAGCAGAGTGAACAAAGTAAATTAATTTTTCCTACAAAACAAATTTAAGCTATGCCTGCAAAATTAGCAATTATTTGCAACAGGTGACAATAATTATGAAACTCAAATGTTTTTCAAAATCCACTGTTATCATAAAGGTATTATTAAGCAATTTACATCAAATGTCACAGTTCGGCCATTAGCAATCCCGCTTCATATCTGGGAAGTACTGGGTTCAAATTTCAGGAAAGAAACTGGCTTCTGACATTTTTTGTAACTTTCCTCTGCCCCTCTATACAATAGCTAGAATATTACCTATGCCAACACTGCTTCCTTCTTTTCCTTCACAACCTTGCTAATTCAATATTCACATATCATCCTATCATCAGATGTCGTACAGTATTATCTACTGACAGCGTAGTTAAATAAACCACAAATAAATAAAATATATGACATTTACTTTCAATATCAGCAGGATACACAAAACGTATTTTGCATTATGAAATATTTGTTTTTCTGTAATGCTTCTATTCTAACTATAAAGCCAAGCACAAAATTATTTTCCCACCCGAAATTCAAAAGCTCCCATACGGTAAATACATACTTGGGGGCCCGGAAATTATTTTTTTTTTATAATGAAACTGGATCTTTCAACCAAACTACGTTAATCACAATGCGTCATCAAGACATCTGTGTGCCCAAAGAGTAAGACAGACGGAGGGCATAGTTTTGTTAGGACCAAATGCCAATAAAGTAATTTTTAACTTAAAATTTATTTTACTACTAAAATACATTGTTGACCCCATAACCTAAAAATATAGGTTACGTTACCGAATGTACTGTTATGAACAAATACACGGTAATTAATTTGGGAAGACTACCTATTACCCATGATAAATTAAAGCTAAATCTGCGGAAAAAATAGTATTACGAAAGAAACAGTACCTTCGAAACCGAATGGTGGCACACTTCATTTAAAACAACAGATAAAATTCAAGTACAAACACTGCAAAATACATATTCCACCTAACTTCTTCATGGTTTTATTCTGCGCAAATCGGCTGACTATACGTTGCTGACATCTGTATGAAGATGTATTCGACCTTTAAAATTTGGCGTCAGTAGTTCAATCAGTAACAATACGTACATTTTTATTACATTTCATGAATACATAAGCCAAATGACAATTGGATGTAAAATAAGTCAGTCATAATAATACAACAGAGGGAACGGAGAAAGGCACAACTAATTAGCGAAGTATTAAGAAAAAAATGTTTAGTTACTGCCATGTGTTACTCTGCGGAGCACATCACAATCTTGGAGGGTGGTTTGCTGGCCTCTTTCTTTGAGTGTAACATGAGGTACGGCCTAGAGTACGATAATTTTACATATATGATAAAAATAATTGATGATGGTAAACCAATAAATTGCTTATTGAATGGTGTATTCATTATCATTAGGGGGGGAACATCACCTCAGACGGTAGTCTATTTCGCAATCTGCTAAGTAACTGTCGGTATGAGTATTATGCAAACTGTTTGAATGTAGCCATATATATGAATATATTGTATTTCATAATTATATTATTACGTCTGGAAACTGAAAAACCACGCGCTAAGAGATGGGTGCTACAACACTCCATGTAATTGAAACTAATCGAAATTATATTAACTCCACGACAAATTATGTTATAGGGATGCTTGTTACTAATTAGTTTTTAGATACAATTTCATGTATTGATTTTTGCATTCGGTCTTCACATTGCTGTGTAACATCTATTTTCTCATGAATTCAATTCATCCCTTAAGTTAAGCATCATAATCAATAAAGGCGTGTCAGAATTTGCTGTTAATAACAAAATGTTTAATTTATTTTTGTTATATTGCACGCTCTTAGAACCTTATAAATTTTGCATGACAAACTAAGGTTAACAGGACTATAGCCCACATTTTGTTAAACACGATTCGTAGTAATTCACAAAACTCTGACACGAAGTTAAAATGCTTCTCAAAGTATCAGCTAATACGGAAGATATTAATAAAATAAATACATCACCATTGTCCGAGACACTTCTGAAGTTATCACATTTTCTTGGCAGCATTAACTAGTTCTAATACTGACATGTATTTTTCTTTGCAATACGGAATAAATTATGAAATATTACTCAGGCAAACTTCAGCTTTGCAGCCCTCCCAAAATGCATTAATCAAAACTTACTCCCTTACTGTGGAGGTCATTAAATTACTAAAGGACTTAGCTTTCCAAATCTATCAACAAGAAAATCAAACTTTCGCTCATCTCTGTTACCTAGCTTTCATTACTTGCCATGCCAACATCTTCACTTTCATTTTATCTTTATCAAAAGGACGAGCGGGCACTGCCTATGAACCTTTTAACAAGAATATGCTCTTTCTCCCTACAGAAATAAAGTATGTCTCTCATGAAGATATCTGTCTTCTGGGTTGTTGCGCTGTGTAGTCTGGTCGATGTTAACCAACATTTCAGAGGTCATACTACCTCTGAAACGTTGGTTAACATCGACCAGATTACACAGCGCAACAACCTAGAAGACAGAAATTTTCATACTCACCACTGTGAAAACCTCAAATCTTACATATGTCTCTCATGATTTCTCCACAAATGTCAAACAAAGACCACAACACTGAAGAATTGTGATGTGTTATTGTCCTGATGAGGATGTCTTCTGTCGTTCCAAAACTTGGCAAGACAGAAAAATGGGATGAAAACCTTGTGTCTGTGTTCTTCGACCAATTCATAAACATATGTTCAGGATTATTACTGGAGTGACTTCCTGCATGACACGAATGAAGTTAAGTATTCCTCATATTGGTATTTATACAGAAAATCAATCGCAATGGCAGGTATATTTACTTAAACTTATATGATTCTGAAAGGGCAGACATGCAATTGAATAGTTATGTATAGCTGCCTTCTTCATTGCATTGTGCCAAGTGAAGCAGAGGACAATCCTAACCGATACATGAGCAATAATGTGGCAGAAACACTTCTGTGAAAGGTATTCCTTCTCTTGCAGCCAAGCAATTATATCATCCTTTCTCTAACTCAGTTGGAGGTTTCTCCAGAAGAGCACAATGATAAGGTACATTGTCCATTATGATAACTATTCTACTAAATTTGGCAGAAGTTTAAGTCAAGATTCTCCCCATTAACTGAGTCATGATAGTCTCCTGAAATAAAAAATTTAAACTCACACTGAGATAAATACTCACAGAGATCAGCCTTAAATTCATCAGTTGTCTCCAGTGGAAACTCCTTAAGCACATGCACCACCTTGATGATGGAGGCAGTAAGCACATATGAAATGTCAGCCAGTTTCTACCAGACTATACAGCACAATATCCCAGAAGACAGCCATCTTCAGATCTGTAAAATTAACTTCCTGTTGTAAGACTGTGTGCACGCATGCACATGTGTGAGGGAAGTTGGATAGTAGCTAAAATAAAGACAAAATCCAGAACTCCAGTATCCAGTGGTGTTCATGGAAAAATTAATGAAAATTATGTCAGACAAAACTTTTAAGACCCCAGCATAAAATGGTTATGGAACACTATCCTCACACAAGTTCTGTTAACTCAGCCAGCAGCAAAATCACTTTATGGTACCAATAACTAGATGGCTCCAGCAGACAAAATCAGGATTGAGTAGAAATTGTGCAGAGGCAGTGGGCTGGTCACTCACTACTCACAGATGCACACTTAAAAAGACTAAGAAACTTCCGAAAGGAGGCGGTGAAGACCCACACTGGATTGCAGAGCCAAGGAAGGAAGGAATAACAAAAATAACCACCAGGTAAACACATACAAATAACTTCTTTATTTTAATAACAGAAACTAAATGTAACAGACTGGGGAAGGGAAAAAAAATGTTGAATTTTGTCACATGCAGCTAACTTTTTTGGCATCGGCATGAAATTTCACTTATTCCAGCAAGCCACTGGAGCTACCAAACTTATTGAAACCATTCGTTAAATTTAGTTATAATATATATACAGATTAAGGAAAATGTAGTGGTTTTAAAGTTCCATTACTATCATATCTACATTCAGTTTCTATCACCACACAGCTGTCAGTGATGCAATGAACTACAAAGTGTAAAAATCCTTGTACAAGAAAATTATCATCACTACTGGAATAAAATAAACATTTGTAAAGAGTTTATTTACATAAGAAAAGCTAAATGTAGAGTCACCAAACTACCCAGTAAATATTGCCACTATAAAAGAAGAAACAGAACATGAAACAGCCACACTAACTTTAAATCACTGACTTCTCAACTATAATAAATTGGTCACTGTTCATGTGCACTACATGTTTCCATCTTTGAACCCAAATTCTACACGTCACCTAATGTACAACCTGAAAAAATAAATAAATGGAAGAGTTGACAAATGCGGATGCATCAACTGATTTTCCATCATACACGCTTGATTAGTTTCTTTGTAATGAACAGTATACAGTTCAAACTGTAATGTCATTTATGAATGAATAACAGCCATTTGGTCTCAAAGCACTGTCATCTTCAGAAATTAAAAATCTCCATCTCAGCCATGAAAGGAAGGGGTAGAAACGTTCATACAGAATGCCTCGGCCTCCAAACATGCAAAAGGGCCCATTCTTCAGTTTGCCGCCCTGCACTGAAGTCATAATTCATACCAACTGAAACTGCTGGATCTGATCAGGATATGTGTAGATCACTGTCTCTGTTTGCCCATTCTGGTCAGTTGTGAGGATGTTGCCTGCCAATGCTTGAGCATCTGCAAGTAGGATTTGAAGTTTTCACAGTGGCGAGTTTGAAGAGTGCTGTCTTCTGGGTTGTTGCACTGTGTAGTCTGGTAAAAGTTTACCACCCTGATAATGGAGGCAGGAAGGACCTCTGAATCGTCAGTAAACTTCTACAAGACTACACGACACAACAACCCAGAAGACAGCCATATTCATCTGCAAGAAAGTTAAAAATTTTAAACACTCTGGTCTTGTGTCTTAAGGTGACAACATGATGAAGACAAAATATGTAATTACCATATTTCGATTTTAAGAAACTCTTTTTTCACAATTTATCAAATTCGGATATGACTTACACTTGATAGCATATAGGAATCAATATAACATATTTTTTCCTGAAGACTTATCAAATCAAGGGTACATCTTCCAATCAACAGTATCTTAAAATTAAGGAAATCTGGTATAAAAATAGCACTATCAAATGTTTAGGTCAGAAAATAACTCACCACACATATTTTGCAAAGATAAACAGGTTAATTACTTCTTTTTAGCAAGTCTTTAATTAACCCTTAAAAGTAAAGCTATCCAACTATTTGCCATATAGTCACTTGGGGGAAGAGGAGATATAACTCCTACTCATTCTTGACCTCAGCACTAGATGGAGGTGAGTGGTCAGCATCACACCCCGGTGGCACTTTACCCCCAGGAAAGGACCCCGGTACCCATTGGATAGGAGGCTGGGTGGGCCCCAGAGCCGGTCTGGAAGCAGAAGCTAGAGGAAAAATCCTCTGCCCCCATCAGGGATTGAACCCGTCATACAGCCCGTAGCTAGTCACTGTACTGACTGAGCTATCTTGGCTACATTTTCACGAATAGCCATGAAAACTGAAAACAGAAATGTGTAACATGCCTGTGGACTTTCTGAGTGGTACATATTGAGAGGCCTTAATTTATAGTCCCTGAAGCAAAAATGGTGGTGTTGAGTTGGTGAAACTGCACACACAGCTCAGTGGACCTGCAACAGTTTCTACCATGTGGTGTAATGAGAGTCATCTGTATTTCAAATAGGCTCTGAGGAAAAGTTCTGTATTAACACTTTGCACGGTGTCTTTTCTTATGAGATTAACTTCTATTTGTGAGTTTATAATATAAACCAGTCTCTTTATATACTTACTGAAAGCATCTTGAGTCATTTCCTCATAAATCTCACTAGACCCTAGAGGTTTATCACCTTTGGTTGCCTGAAAAAATATAAATGCACATATTTGTGTATGGTTTATTAACGATGCTACCAGCAACTCAGATGATATCGGGTTAAAAGATAGGATAATTAATAAATTTGAAAATATATGGAAGTACTTGTGACCTACTTTTTTGTCTGAGGGACTGAAAACACCACAAAAACTTGTTACCATAGGCAGACTCCAGGCAGGGGTTTGAACCCAGGACCTTTCAACATGAAACAGGAGTGCCAATACAATGTTCAATGGGAAAACAAAAATTCCCACAAACAATTCATAGGGGATCGTTCGGCAACTGTGCCAGCATATGACCTTTTTGTTATGCATGATCACTGTGTCAGATGCTACATTGCCTAGTTACTTAGCTGTGGTGTCAGTGAGACTGCATAAACATCACAGCATGAAATTTACGTATGTTTACTTATGTTACAGGAGACGCTGAAAACATTCACCATATGCTTGGACACTTTACCCATACATCCTCAAAAGATCAAACTCACACGCTGTAGTTCTGTGGACATAAGGGACACCTTAAAATGAATGATCTATCAGATTTATTCTTTTGTGTGGAATGGCCTTTAGTTTTTAAATACCCCCACTGTTTGAAGATAAAAATTATAATAATGAAGTATGGCTATTGGATCTGTGGTTTTATAAAACCTGTTTCAATATAATTTTGCAGTAGTTCTCACAGTACCTCTCAATACTCTCATTTCTTTGGTAAGGTGCTTAAAAGACATACAAGGCAAATTTTCAAGCTATACAATGATATCATTCAACTTTTCATCTCTTAATGTTCAACATTGATGTCTTAGTTTCACGACAGATGTTCTTACTTTACTGACAAGACTTGTAAAAATGTTTCAGTGGGGAGCTGAAATTATAGGAAACATTCTTCAGAATTTCCTCTGACTTTCTAGCAAAGTTACACTTCACATAAGATTCATATAAAAACACCCAATGTTCTATTGTAAACCCACTAATTACTCTTACATACCACTGAGTAACAAGTGAATAGACCACTTCCTCTTATAATGGCTGTAACTCAATAGTGTAAACTTCACTGTCACAGCTGACGAAAATAGGACATGCAGCTATTGACACAGTGGTTATGCATACTGGAAAGAACACATTACAGCAAAGATGTCAATCTCTCTATACATAATGAAAATAGTTTTATAATCATATAACATAGAGACCAAGTCATCCTTGTGACTACACTTTACATTATCAATCCTTTGCACTGGATGGCAAACTTTCACTCATCTGTGCTTGACAGACATGCTGTGTGTTTGCATTAAATAAAACTTTCTGGAGGGAAAAATGATGCCCGTTTCTGAAGTGAGATGATATGTAATGGCTATAATCTCCAATGTTCTACTCCGTAGGCGCTTGGGGGGAGTGGAGGTATAGCTCCTACTCATTCTTGACCTCGGCACTAGATGGGGTGAGTGGTCAGCATCACGCCCCGGCCGGCTTTACCCCCGGGATAGGAGGCTGGGTGGGCCCCAGAGCCGGTCTGGATGCAGAGGCTAGAGGAAAAATCCTCCGCCCCCGTCGGGGATCGAATACCGGTTGCCCAGTCCGTAGCCAGTCACTATACTGACCGAGCTACACCGGCTCCTATGGTCTAGTGATCAGGATACCTGGCTCTCACCCAGGAGGCTCGGGTTCGATTCCCGGTACCAGAACCAATCTAGAGCTACAATATTACAGCAAAATAATTATGATGAGAAACCAACACCTGTATTACTTACATGTGTTTATTATACTTGAGACTTTTTGGGTTATGTAAATTCTTCTATTGAGTAGGAAGCGTGAGATAGGAGATGCTCTTTTAATGCTGGCTTAAACATTTTTATATCGTGATTTAAACTTTTGATAGCAGGTGGAAAATTATTGAATAACTTAATTCCAGTATAGTAAATTCCTTTTTGATGTTTACTGAGGTTAGAATTTGGTACATGAACGTTGTATCTGTATCTTGTCCAATGAAAGATGTAGATGATAAAAATACTCAAGTAAAACATGACATACATAAATAAAAATACCACATTCCCAGCAATTTGCATCTCACTGTCTGAACAGGATTATATATACTTACAAAATGAACAAATTCTGTATACAGTTGGTCATTTTGCTAATACAAACCTCTCTGTATTTCTGAAGATACAGTTTTAAGGGTTCTACATAGTTATCAAACCCAAGAGTTGTCATCGCAAACAGAATATCTTCTCCATTGATAGTTTTCCTTTTCTCCATGTGACAACGATCACTAGCTTCACTGGTAATGAAGCTGATAAACTCAGATACACACTCCTGAACACATTCACGTGCATCCTTTGCAATCTTCCCAGGTTCTGGTATTCCTCTCTTCATTATTTTGGCAATGTTGGCAATTGGCAAAAAACGATCCTGTTCTCGTAGTGGATATCCAGATTTGTCTCCACCGCCTTGATTTGAGTCATCCGTATTTTCTGCTGTCAGAGCTGCATCTCCATCATCTACCAGAATAATTGAAAGGAAATCAGAATGAACTGACACTTGATCTGAAAACTTTCAAGTGACCTTTGTAATTTGATATGCTCTGACATTATGCACTAAAAATACTGCTTCTATGTATGCAATTTCCCAAAATGTGATCTAATGACTTCCTTATATTTAAAAATTAATCTTACAATTGAAACTATATGATATTTGTTCAAATTGAGATCATGTACAGTACAACACAGAGTTCCACAAGGACCAGTACTTCGTCTTCTCCTTTCTGGGTGTTCTTTATATTAGTGTGAGCAAGAAAACCTTATACATGAGTTCATGCCTGTCTGTCACATCCCTAATCACATTGCTGCAACAGTAAACTTGGACAATACTGCTGCCTTTGATACCATTATTGCATTTGGAATTCCCTAGGCTGTCCTACTAACATCATCTGGAATGTGGTATAAAGAACACATTTGTAATATTATTATACACCATTTCAGGCTTGTTCTAGTGTATAGCAATGACCGTTTATCCAATACGTTAGTCATGAAGGGGGTTATTAATCAATCTTGCATATTACCATTTGCCTCCAAGTACATATGGAATGTAAATAAATTCTGTATTTGTACAAAATAATGATTTTAAATTTTGCACTTGTCAGCAGAATAGCTCCTTGCGGTAAAATAAGTAGGGCGTTTCGACGAGGGAATAAGCTACTCCAAGGCTAATTCAATTTGAAGTCTAACCCTGGCTAACAAATTCTGTTGGCTATTCAATAATACTCTTACATGTTTACATCAGAAGTTGCACACTATAATTATTAACAGAACACAGAAATTTAATTCCATACTGAACATGACCTTACCATCAAGCTCTTCTCCCTGAACCATGTACCCTTGTGATTCGACAGTAAGGAAACTATTTCCCAAATCGTCACCGCTTTCACTATTATCCATATCAATACGATGTTTACAATCCGGGGCAAAATAAATAATTGTGAATTCCTTTACAATTATACAAACCCTACGACTTTCAAGTTCACTAAATACCTAACATATCATACCACACAACATTGCAGCACAAGTAACATCCTCTTCTATCACATATAATTACCAACATACAGACCAGGAACTCAATGTTGGCAACGTGAATTTGCATCCAGGCATGGTGATGCACTGATAGAAACAGTGAGTACCTCTGAAACGTCGGTTATTTTCTATCAGACTACACGGCACAATATTCCAGACATGAAACTACCTATTCCTGTGTTATGAATTTTGAAAAGATACGATGAAAGTGAATGGTAGTTAACGTTGTTACTGATTGAGATCTCGGGATTGGTTGTTTCCTGCCAGTTATGTATAGTAGTTTTACTTAAACTGCGGGTAGATGGTAGCACAATAATATATTGACGTCATGTGCCTCGAACATTGGAATTGATTTATCGATCTGCCCGTAGAATACAATCTAATAAAATAAATACTACTGCTATTCCCTGGCACAGCAGCCGTTTTGTAGGGCCTTGACCTACTGAACGAATTCCTTCCATTCCTATCTATCTTCCGCCTACCCTAACTTTCATTTTTGTTATGACTTCCTCCATGTCATCCAGTCACCTTATCATTGGTCTACCAATTTCTCTCCTTCCCTCAGGTTTCCCACTATATTTCATGTCGCAAACCTAATATATTTTTTCCTTTTGACATGCCTTGGCCATTTTCCAATTACTCTACTCTTATCAGGTTTCTGTACAATTAGTTTTTTTTCCGGGATGAGGCTGTAAACTCCATGCTCAACCCCAACCTGGAGGACCAGGCCTCTGAATTCCTATCCTCCCGAGACAGCGTAGCCCAGCTATACTCCCAGGCACCCATTGGATAGGAGGCTGGGTGGGCCATAGAACAGGTCTGGACTGCTACTATACTGACTGAGCTACGGCAATCTAACTCTAACTAGCGACATCTCTCGCGATGAGCATGTACTTTGTATAAGTAACTGTTTATCTCTGCGGATAGATGTCAGGAATGCATCTTAGCCTACTCCCACATCATGTTGCTTTGATGGTTGTTGGTATTATCTGTACTCGGCAACACTGGGTAATACCAAAGAGTTTTTCGTCATTGGTTGAAACATATTCAAGAATATAATGGTAATCTGTGATTAGAAGAGCTGTTGGCGCTGACAATTTTGTAAGTGGTTTGTTGGTGTCTGAAGTAAAGATTTTGTATGTGATATCCATGTTAAAATGAAAGGACATGTGAATGATGAAAGTTTCAGTACACAACCGTGTTTTGTAACTTATGCTTTAGAGATGCCCTATGGTGGTTTGGATTCGATCTTCACACATGTACATTCCTCATTAATATTGAACAACTTTTCTCCTTCCACATTTGTCTTTCTCATGTGAGCCAATACACATACGTGGCCGTTGTTTTCGGAACTTGTGTTGAAGGGTATCTCATGATTTTATTAATATTTTGCAGGACTGGGCACTTTTCGTAATTTTTGTAACGTCTTACCAATTATAAATATATTTGCTTTTCTCAAATTACAGTAAGCAAATGTGGAACAAGTCTGATTACAATTATATTGCATTTAGAAAATGCAGTCGGGTCATGGAGACATGAAATGTAAGAAAAAGAAAGTAAACACAGTAATTCCATGGAGCAGAATCCTTGCTTAGGTGGACATTAGATTTCCTTCCTTTTATGAGCCAAGTGGTTTATTAGGCTGTACGCATACTGATAGCAGTCTCAAGCTTTGAGGGACTCCATGTTTAGCTTTACCCCCTAGTATTTTGCATATGAATGCTTCCAGTCTTGTCAATTAATAATAAAATATGTAAGACTTCTGGAAGTAACTGATTACATGAAGACCTGTGTGTAGATGGGAAGATAACTTTAAAATGGTTCTTTAAGATGCAGGTTGGAAGAGTGTGAAGTGGATTAATGTAGCTCAAGATAGCCAAAAGTGGTGGGCTCATGTTTACATGGTAATTAACATTTAGTTCCATGAAGGGCAAGGAATTTCTTGACTAGCTGGGAGTCTGTCAGCTTTTTAAAGACTGTGCTTCAAGTGGTCTCTTCCTCTTCAGACTTTCCATTCAAACTTTGTGTGAAATTCTGTTCATGTGTGCTATCTGCCCTGGCCATCTCATTCTCCTTGTTGTAATGATAATCATATTTGGCAACATTCTGGAAACAAGGTGAACTGTGATATGAGTCAATATGTTTGGTACTTGTTTCCTTGCAGTTTTTTCTGTCATCAATATGATGGACCGTATCATCGCTTTGGTTGACATGGATTGCTTTTACTGTCAGGTGGAGGCACGGCTGAATCCCTCCTTGAAAGGAAAGCCATTGGCTGTGGTGCAGTATAACAAGTGGAAAGGTGGAGGGTGAGATGTTGTAGAAACATTCTCTGAAATAGAATTTTGTTGATTTTCAGAGAAGGGCCAATTTTTGTATTCTTTTTTCAAACAATAAATCAGTAGTGTCTTACACAGAAATTAATATTGAATAATGAATAGTAAATCACATCTAGTATAATATTACAAAATCAAGTTTAACATTTAATACCTACACCTATGCATGGCTCCTTCCCTGACATGACATGAAATATCGATAATGAAAAACACAAATAGGAATTTTTATAATGACATATATACTAGATAAAGAACTGCACCAACTGTTGAAATCCCATTTAAATAGATGTAACTCAATTACTCAATTAAAATTAAGTTTATCTGCCCAAATTAATACAGTCATCCAAACAATACCAGTATTTGTAGGATTTGAGGTTTTCACAGCGGTGAATCTGAAGATTGCTGCCTTCTGGGTTATTGCGCTGTATAGTCTGGTAGATTTCCACCAACATTTCGGAGGTCATACTGCCTCCGTCATCAGGGCAATGAATGTCATTCATCTACCAGACTACTTGGCGCAATAACCCAGAAGACAACAATCTTCAATAGCAGTATTTATGTGACTTTACTAAACCACCTTTGTTTTGTTTTTACTGTGTTGGCATCACTGAGTTATTTTAATTTGGTGTGGTTCATTTGTTTACATGTGCAGACTGCTTGTTCTCAAGGGTATCAGGAGAACAAACACTGTGGGGAGAAAGGTGACATGATATGGGTTTTGATTGTACTTTTTCAACAGAATGTAACCCAGCACAGATTAACTAACTTCATCAAGCAGAGTCCTTCTTGAGAAGCTAAAGTCGGCTAGTCAAGAATTCCCTGCCCTTCATGGAAACCAAGGTTCATTATCATGTTCACAAGAGCCCATCATCAGTTACATATCCAGCATATTAAAGAGAGAAAAAATATTTTGTCATTGTTTCATCTAAATAATCTCTGGATCCTCCCTTCTAACTTATTATCAGGGCTGTGGAGTCAGAGTTGGAAGCAATTTTATGTGGAGTTTGAGTCAGTACATTTTTACGAACTCCGATATAAAATTTTAAGAAAGTACCATTTTAACACTTTAGCTACTGTGAGAGCTGGTGGCTGCCTCACGCTTAGGGAGATTCGATGATGCATTGATCCACATGGTGCGGGGGGAAATGCTTTGTAAGTTTGGCTCTGGTATCTTACGAATACAAACTGTCTACAATTCAACTGATTTCTGCAATAACCATTAGACTTATATTTAAATATAGGTTATAAGTCTAAAAAGTAGCCTGATGATTCACGTGGTGGTGGCGATGAAATCTCTTTATGGTACCATTTACCATTTTATTAGATTTACCATTATTAATACATACTGAGCTTTTATGAAGGAGTCCGAGGTTTTAATACTGAATCCACAGCCCTGCTTATTACACTCCATTTGTACCTTTAAGTCTCTCCTGTGGTTGAAATAAAGGGCCCAGTCATGTGATTAAACACAAATGAACAGCACCATGTTAATTATCACTGATTAATATTTATTTATTTTTTGTTTCTAGGATCATTGCAGTGAATTATGAGGCTCGTGAATTTGGTGTCACAAGAAGTATGAGAGGGGATGAAGCAAGGAAGAAGTGTCCAGACATAATACTTGTTCATGTTCCAGAAGTTAGAGGCAAGGCAGATCTCTCAAAGTAAGTTTGAAACTTTTCATGTTTCTTTGTTGCCCGAGAGCACCATGAAGGACTTCTATCATTTCATCAGTAGATGGTTGGGACATTGAATTTCCATGGTCTAAAGTTTGAAGCTTTTAATTTGTCTTGTGTTTTTTTGGGCTCTCCTGCATTTTGTTGTTATGATATCGTACCAACAGCATTTTCAGAATGAGTTATTATTTGCCTTTCAGATATCGTGATGCAGGGCGAGAAGTGGTGGATGTTTTCTGTCAGTTCAGTGAATGCGTTCAGAGAGCCAGTGTTGATGAAGCCTATATTGACATCACTGAATCTGTTGAGCAGCGAATTAACAACCTTTATCAAGTGCAGCCATCTCACTTACCTACAACATTTGTGGTTGGATCCACGGATATTGACAGTAATGATGAGGGTTAGCTGAGAGCCAGGTGGTTGGTGATTCAATTATAAATTAATTAATTTTTTAATTAAATCCTAGGGTATTAGTGCCATGTTTTGGCAGTATGTTATTGTATTTAACAAATGAGTAGAGTTGAATCATGGATCAGTACATCTATTTTTGTTTGTGAGAATATTCGAAACTAAGAAAAATGGAAGCAACTACATCTATTTTTGTTTGTGAGAATATTTGAAACTAAGAAAAAAGGAAGCAAAAGAGGGCAGTGAGAATTACATAGCAAGGAACTTAATTTATGCTCTTCACATAATACCATATTTTTTCAAATACTCTATGCCCCTGAAAAAGCACACACTCCAGTGTTTATAATTTTTAAGAAATATGATAATTGTAGAATTAATACTAAAGACCAGAAATAATAAATTGTATTAATGTGCCATTTCCCACCATATAAATTTATATGAGCATATGCTGTGGCTAATGAAACTGCAGTAGCATGAAAAATTAATAAAAGAATACACCATCTTAATTACTGTTACCAGTATACTTCAGTGTGAATGAGATGAGCAGGTCATGTGGCGCGCATGGATGGGGCAAGAGTTGTGCACCGGGTATTGGTTGGGAAGCCTGAGGGGAAGAGACCGCTGGGGAGACCTAAACATAGATGGGAGGATAATCTCAGGTGGGATCTATCGGAGATAGGAGTTAAAGGAGACTGGACTTTATTGGCCCAGGACAGGGTCTGGTGGAGGGCTTTGGTTAATTTGGTGATCAACCTTCGGGTTCCGTAAGCCATCTAGTTAGTTAGTATACTTTAGTGTTACTGTTGCAGCTGACTGAATTGATCTTGTCATGAAGATTTCTGTCTTCTGGGTTGTTGCGCTGTGTAGTCTGGTAGATGTTTACCAACGTTTCAGAGGTCATACTGCCTCCGTCATCAATCCTCCAAACTACAGTACCAGAACTCTGTGAAATGCACACTTTTTTCCATTGTGCAGTACTTGTTTGTCATCTTAAACAGAAAGTTTCATTTAAAAGATTTCTGCAACCAACCTCAGTATGCGCTGAAGCACTAGATCCCAATTCTGATGATTTGTAGTGCCTTTGGCTGACATATTTTACATGATATTGAATAACCAAACTGCCACCTCTCTTTTAAATATGAAGAAAACTTGTCTTCTGCCACTGAAATTTTTGCTTTTTGATTATGAATCACCTGTTCAGGACTGCTATCTTGTAGCTTACTTCAGTCTCTCTGACACTGTGGCATGATTTTCTGTCTGTTCTCCAAAAATCTTAATTTTCTCAAGGACAGTAAATCATTGTGCTCCTTTATTTCCAGTGGTTGTGTTTGTCCATGTTATTAATCTTATCAGCTTACATGGTGGGGAGGTCAGTGTGACACTGTCTGCAATTGCTGTACTCTGTACCACCGTCAAAAATGATCTTTCTTATTGTATGCACAGTTTGCATAGTGTACACATATGACAAAAGCATTGCTGTATAAAATCTTTCTTGACTGATGAGTATCTCTTTGTCATCCTATTTCATAAACCAAGCTGTAACAAGCTGAGCCAAGTTCAGGTGACTAGCAGACAGAATAATTAAAATTGACCCTTATAGCAAAAATATTTTACTAATGAAGGAATAGTGTGACTGAGAATGTTACATTTAGCAAGGAGTGTCTTACGCTGATTTGACAGTTGATAATGCACACTTGTTTATTATTTCTTGCAAGAAAAAGAGAAAATTTGAAGGTCAATCTTCTTCACCCAATTGCTGTCACAGGTTACAACAAAGATTTTACCAAAGTTTATGCTTTAGAGAAAACTATAATCTGCTGCAGTCAGATTTTGTAGACTTTTAAGCCAGTTTATTGTTTAATTTTACAGATGGCAGACAGCGAGGCCTCGTCTCATGGCTAGAGAACATCTATGAATTGCAGGATACAGCACAGCAAAGGCTGGCTGTGGCAGGCATCATTGTGGAGGAGATGAGGACAGCAGTGTTCCGTCAAACGGGCTTCCGTTGCTCTGCAGGGATATCCCACAACAAGGTTTGTTTAATATGCTATTAACCCTGCAGTATTTTCTTTACTGCTGGGATTAAATATACCAAAATGTAGTGCCTATAATAAAACAAAATTTGAAGAACTGTCTTCTGGGTTGTAGCGCCATGTAGTCTCGTAGAAATTTTGTATAAAGGTACGTTATAAATATTCCTAAAAACTGTATATAGAATATTATTTATAAATCATTAATTACAAATATAACAATATTGCGAAACTTTAAGATTGTTATCATTCAAATTTAATGTAGACAGAATTTGTACGTAAGTAATAAATAAGCCCTTACGACTACTACTATTATTGTTGTTGTTTTTACTATTATAATACTCGTATCATATTATTTACAGTTGCAGGCGTTAACAAGGTTTTAACTTTAATAGGATTTGATGCTATGTCCATCTCTGCATAAGCCCAGTATGTACTCTTCTGCATTTTATTGTTTGATTTTATACTTGAACTATCTAAATATGGTAGTAAAAACAATATTTGTAGGTTTGCAGGTTTGTGTGAAAAGAACAGAGGCTTAATTAGTTCTGCTCAGAATTGCTTGTTCAGTCCCCTTTCTTCATTTTGTAAGGAAATGGCTTTTTAAGTCCAGGTTTATGTCTCCCTCTAATACTAGTTGAAATTTGGATTGCTTTACAAGAAACAGTCTGAAGTTCATGTGCCTCTGTGGGTGTGTAAACTTCTGATGTGGGAGTGACTCAAGCTCCATGTAATGCAAAGAGTCTCTCTCTCTTTAATGTAAAGTAAAATAAAGTGTCCTGCTACATGCCTATGCAGGCACTTGGGGGGAGTGGAGGTATAGCTCCTACTCTTTCTTGACCTCGGCACCAGATGGGGGCTAGTGGTCGGCATCACGCCTCGGCCGTGCGAAAAGGCCCCCGGTACCCATTGGATAGGAGGCTGGGTGGGCCCCAGAGCCGGTCTGGACGCAGAGGCTAGAGGAAAACTCCTCTGCCCCCGTCGGGGATTGAACCCTGATCGTCGAGCCTGTAGCTAGTCACTATACTCATTCTCTCTTTAATGTAGTGTAATGTAAAACCAAGCAGCCACATGAAGCTTGTAGTTCGATGTTAGCATCATTTGCCACCGATAACTTTGTATGTCGGAGCTGTAGTTGTAAACTTTACATAAACTATGGATATACACATTTTCCATGTACAAGGCACTTTTCAGCCTTAGATTTATATTGTTTCCACTCAGGAAGTGTTAAATATAGATAGAGGTCTCTTTTGGTCAGTAAACGGTATTGAATTACAAAAATGGAATGTTAGAGCAGCTGTAATCACAATGTTGATTTTTGAAGCATCCGACGATACGCATTGTTAAGGGCAAGATAGTTCAAATGCCTTTCCCAGAATATTGCATTTTTCTGGATTTTTAGGTGTTATTTGCACAGTCTGTGATGAGAGAAGAATGCTGTTCACAATTTGTACTTCTGATGATTTTAGTTTCACTGTGTGACAACTCTAAATACTATAAAATCTAAAAGAAATATCCCTTTCATGAAACACTACTTGTGTAGAAAATAAAAATCAAACTTTGAAAGCTTTTAAACTCTAACCCGTGAAGAAAATCTGAAAGTAAATTTCCACTGTATGCAAAAATTTAGTAGTGTTGGACCAAGAATCATTACTCTATTGTACATAGAGATCTGGCAGTAGAATGTAGATCAGTACATTTTAACATATAATCCTGCTGCTATTAGTAATGTAAAAGATATAGGTGTACTTGGTACACAAAAGAATTTGTAAAATTTTGGAAAATGTTGACTACCTTGAACATAATAGACTTTTAAGATGAGTGTGACCATGTGTGCTTCAGATCTTAGGCAAGTTGGCATGTGGCCTTCACAAGCCAAACCGGCAGACAATTTTGCCACCTGCTGGTGTGATGGATCTATATAAAACTCTGCCAGTCAGGAAAGTGCGTAATCTTGGTGGCAAGTTTGGTTGTGTCGTGGTGGAACAGCTGGGTTGCAAGGTCATGGCTGACTTGCTGCAGTTTACTGAGAGGCAGTTGCAGCAGCAGTTTCATGAGAAGATGGGGTATGCATTCCAATATTTATCAAAACGTAGAATTTATCTGTCTCATGGAAGAAGTGTTATTGAATATGTGCATAACTCATTTATGATTCAACCAGGGTGAGTTGT